ATGCAGATTAATCTGGTAGAGAGTGGTACTGGACAGGATAGGAAATGCCTCTCTAAGGAACTGAGAGCCAGCCACCTGCAGATCTGAGGAAAGAACATTCCAGATGAAAGGAACACTTAGTCTGGAGTTCCTAAGGTGAGAAAGATCCTACTTTGTTCTAGGAACTGACCGAAAGTCAGCGTGGACAAGCATAGGAAGTTACAGGGTAGAGGCAGATGACAAGAGGAGAGAGACCAGTGGGAGCTCAGTCATGGAACCTCAGCAGGCCACGGTAAGGGTGACATGTACTCTCTCTGATGTTAAGCACAGAAGGGCTGCAAGATCAGATTTGTGGTTTTAGGTGACATCCTAGCTCAGGAGCTTTGGGAAAGGGCAGTTTTAGATGACATCCTAGCTTAGAAAAGGTAAGAGTGGGAAGCAGGGCAGCAAGTTAGTAAGGGCTGTGAGGTTCAGGTGACATGGGAGTTAAGAAGGAATCGCTTAGGCAGATAGCAAGGGCTCAGGAGTATTTGGTAAGGCTTTTCTTTTAAATGAAAAGCAGCCCCAAATCATTTTCTAACAAAGAGCAGCCTGCAAGCTGGGAGCTTGCCCGTGAATGCCAGCAGGAACTAAGGACTAGACGTTTAAAAACAAAGCAGCTCCATCCTCCCTCCTCTGCTAGCCACGTGTATTGTAAGGAGCAGACAAGATGGTGCCCAATCAACTGGAAAGTCCATTTGCATAAGGGGTTTAGGGTGGGGTGACCAGCCTTCCTTGTGCAATATGTAAACATCAAATCTGATGGACCCAATCTGTGAACCCTCCGTAAATCAGACCCTGCCTCCTCAAACTGGAGTATAAAATCCAGCACATCCACAGCCAGTCCTTTCCTTTTGGAGACCCCTTTCTTTGTAGAGGAAGCTGTTTTTCTTCCTTTTCTCTTCTACCTATCAAACCTCCACTCCTAAACTGCTCGTGTGTGTCCATGTCCTAAATTTTTCTGGCACAGAAAGATGAATCCAGGGTTTATACCCCAGACAACGTAGCCGCTTCCCAGGTAGGAGATGATAGTGGCTGGGACAGGAGGAGTCAGAGCTTTGGGAAGAAATGGCAGATTTGGATAAGCATTGGAGAGGAGATGATCACCTCCTACAGAGCACGTGGGTGATGGTGCTTTTTGCTGAGGTGAAAACAGATTGGGGCGAAATAGACTCTGGCCGCAGGAAATTGAGTTCTTTTTTGAACGGTTGTATTTACAATATCTATTACATATTCAAGTTTGGATATCAAATATATATCTGAATATACAATCTGGAGTTTCAGAGCTAAAGTTTCAGAGATTTCAGAGCTAGAGATGTAAATTTGAGAACTATCACAAGTTTAAGTACGTGGTATTTGTATGGAACTGATGACTATTACCTAGAAGGGCAGGAGTGCCCCTATTTGGTTTTGGTTCACCTTGCATGACTGAAACTCTACACCCGTTGGTAATTGGCTCATAGTTCTATAGGCTGTACAGGAAGTATGATGCTGGCATTTGCTCAGCTTCTGGGGAGGCCTCAGGAAACCTACAATCATGGCAGAAGCTGAAGAAGGAGTAGGCATGTCACATGACCAGAGCAGGAGCAGGAGGGTGGAGGCTGAGAGACGCTGTACACGTTTAAACAACCAGATCTCATGAGAACTCTATCACGAGAACAGCAGAAAGGATGGTGCTAACTATTCATGAAGGATCAGCCCACGATCCAATCACCTCCCACCAGGCCCCACCTCCAACACTGGGGGTTACAATTCAATGTGTGATTTGGGGCCAGGCATGGTGGCTCATGCCTGTAATCCCAGCACTTTGGGAGGCTGAGGCAGGTGGATCACCTAAGGTCAGGAGTTCAAGACCAACCCTGGCCAACATGGCAAAACCCCATCTCTACCAAAAATACAAAAATTAGTTGGGTGTGGTGGTGGGCGCCTGTAATCCCAGCTACTCAGGAGGCTGAGGCAGGAGAATCACTTGAACCAGAGAGGTGGAGATTGCAGTGAGCTGAGATGGCGCCATTGCCCTCTAGCCTGGGCAATGAGAAAAAATGCATCTCAAAAACAACAACAAAAAATAAAACAATGTGAGATTTGGGTGGGAATACAGATCCAAACTATGTCGACACCATCCTAATTGGTGTGAGGTGATATCTCTTGGTTTTGATTCGTGTTTCCCTGATGATTAGTGATGCTGGGCATCTTTTCCTATAACTGTTGCTATTTGTATGTCTTCTTTGGAGAAATATCTATTCAAGTCCTTTGCAGGTTTTTGAATTGGGTTATTTAATTTTTTGCTGTTGAGTTGTAGGAGTTTCTTACATGTTTTTGGATATTAACCCCTATTAGATATATGGTTTGCAAATATTTTCTCTTATTCTGTAGGTTGCCTTTTCACTCTGTCGATGGTTTTCATCGCTGTGTAGAAGCTTTTTGTCTGATGTGGTCCCACTTGCCTATTTTTACTTTTGTTTCCTGTACTTTTGGTGTCACATCCAAGAAACCACTGCCAAGACCATTTGGTTTCTTAACAGTATTAAGAGTGTTATTTTTCCTGTAGTGCAGTCCTCCTCCAAAAATCATATTCCTATTATCTCTGCAAAAAAAAAATCCTTTTAATTTGGAATCAGTTTTTAATTTGAACCAATTTTTTAAAGCTAAGTTTTCAATAGAATTGATGTCAGACATTTCACCTTTGGCAGAATGAACCTCTATACATTGATTCCAGGAATTAATTGTATGAAAAAAAAAGGCCATTATTGGGCTGAACTGCTTTTCTTTTTGAAACATCTGATGACATTATCAAAGTACTGTCATTAACCATTTGCTAAGTTCTGCTGCTGCTAATGGAACCAACACAAACAGCTATCAGCGGGGCACAGTGGCTATTTGAGACCAGCCTGGCCAACATGGTGAAACCCCATCTCTACTAAAAATACCCCCAAAAAATTTGTTGGGCATGGTGGCATGTACCTATAATCCCAGCTATTTGGGAGCTGAGGCACAAGAATTGCTTGAACCCAGAGATTGCAATGAGCCGGGATTGTGCCATTGCACTCCAGCCTGGGGGACAGCATGAGACATGTCACACACACAAAAAGCACTGGCCATGGTGGCTCACACCTGTAATCCCAGCACTTTGAAAGGCCAAGGTGGGTGAATCACCTGAGATCATGAGTTCGAGACCAGCCTAGACAACATGGTGAAACCCTGTCTCTACTAAAAATACAAAATTAGCTGGGTGTGATGGCACATGCCTATAGTCCTCGCTACAACAAGCCAAGATCATGTCACTGCACTCCAGCCTGGACAAGACAGCAAGACTCTGTCTCAAAAGAAAAAAAGCATAAAATTCAATGGTTTGTAGTATATTCACAGAGTTGTGCAACTATCGCCACACTCAGTTTTAGAACGTTTTCATCACTCTAAAAAAAAAAAAAAAAAGCCCATACCTTTTATTTATCGCCCTCCAATCTCCCAATTTCCCCAGCCCAAAATGACACTAACTTTCCATCTCTGTGGACTCGCCTTCTTCTGAACATTTCATATAACTGGAATTAAATTAGACAACGTGTTCCTCTGTGACTGGCTGCTTTCACTGAGCACCATGTTTTCAAGGGCCATTTGTGTGGCAGCAAAGATCAGTACCTCGTTCTTCTTATATGGAGCAATATTCCATTGTGCAGATAACACTGCACCCTATTCTTAGTTTTTAAGAATTCTTTCATATGCTCTGAATTGTGTTCCTTTTCATAGAAGCTGTAATCGTGTCATGGATGCATTCTCTTCTCTTTCTGAAGATATTAATCATGGTTTTCCTGAAGTCATCTTCTTCCTGTGCCTTCTGTTTTTTTCTGAGCTCTTTTTTCTCTTTTGGTTTGATCTCTGGCCTCCTTCATTTTAGAGGTTTTCCTCAAATTTCTGGCAATCCTTGACTGCTCACCAACTTACTAACCAGAAGTTGAGTGTATGTGCACGAGGCTTATCAACCGGCAGCCTCACCGCGAGACGACAGGGGAGAACTGGCTTTTCCTCTTGAGCTAACCAGTGCCCGCAGGTCCTACAGGGAGCACCCTTGACCTTGCCGTCTATGGAAGGATGGTTCCCTAGAGTTCTGCAATGCTATCACCCTGCACAGAAAAAGCAATGGGCTCGTGTGCCATCTCGGGTCTGGGGTAGGGACAATGGCCTGTCATATGTGACTTCTGAGAGCCATACTCATTTCAGGAAGGCCTTGTTTTCTTACCCTCCGTGATGCCTCATGTCTCCTGGATAAGGACATCTCTGGTTTACCCTCTTCAGAGAGCAAATCTTCTGTCATCTGCGGGGTGGTAGAGGAGTGACAGCCTCTGGCTGTGTGGAGTGAGGAGGAAGATCTGAGTTCCGGTTCTTTCTTACACAGACATTGAATGAATTCTCTCATTTTCAGCTCCATCCTGATCCTCTGAATTCAGAGATGTCTAGTGCTTCCAGTTTCTGAGACTTTGGAGGATTCATAGTGAATTCAACTCATTTATTATTTATTTTTATTTATTATTTGGAGACGGAGTTTTGCTCTGTTGCCCAGGCTGGAGTGCTGTGGTGCCATGTTGGTTCACTGCAACCTCCACCTCCTGCCTCAGCCTCCCAAGTAATTGTAATCCCAGGGTGGTGGGTGCCCTGGGATTACAGGCACCCACCACCATGCCTGGATAATCTTTTTGTATGTTTAGTAGAGATGGGTTTCACCATGTTGGCCAGGCTGGTTTCAAACTCCTGACCTCAAGTGATCTGCCCGCCTCAGCAGCCTAGGATTACAGGCATGAGCCACTGCCCCCGGCTGGATTCAATTTAGCGTTTCTTGGCTTCTTCAGGTGTAGACACTCAGCAAAATGGAGAAAGCTGACATTAAATTTGATATCTTTTGTCCAAACAACTTATGCCTTCCAAAATATTGTTGACACCTTTAGCATCTCCTCTGCCATTTGTTTCTTCCTATTTTATTCCTTCAGAGCTGAGTGGGTTTGAAGAGGGAGTGGAGCTGATGGCAGGTACTCAACCTACAGAATTAACTGCGAGTGCACAGCTCCCAGGGAGAAGGCAAGCGCAGGTAAGCCCTTAGCAGCATGTATCCGGAGAATCCTCAGGCTGGAGGCCCAGCTCTGTGAACTTAAAAAAATAGAATAGCAAATTGTGAAGAAAACCATTCATCTGCTTCGCAGTTGTATCTAGCGATGCCTCAGCCAAAATAAACAATTATTTAAAATAATTACCAAGTTTCCTCTTGAGTGACCAATAAAGCAGCTGCATGTAATTACAGCAATACAAAACATCCCATCCACTCAGACCTATCAGATTCCCAGGCCACCGTCTGTCTGTCAGGCTATGCTGCTCCTCATTGCCGACGCTTACACAGCGCTTCAGATGTCCAAGCACTTTACATATTTTAACACGTTAATCCTCACAACTGTCGTTTTCTACAGTTACTATTCTTTTAAGAGGATAATATAGTTGGCCCTCTCTGGGGGTTCTGTATCTGTGGACTCAACCACTCTCAGATTGGAAATATTCAGGAAAAAGTTGGCATCTGTACTACAGGCAGATCTTATTCCTTGTCATTATTCCCTAAACAATAACATGCAGCAACTGTTACATAGTATTTCCATTGTTTTAGGTATCGTAAGTAATCTAGAGATGATTTGAAGTATAGGAGAAAATGTAAGTTATATGCAAATTTGACACCGTTTTATCCAGGAACTGGAATATCCGTGGACTTTGGTATCTGCAGGGGGTTCTGGAAACAATCCCACATGGATGCTGAGGGACGATGGTTGTATGGCACAAAGCACTTCGGCAATCTGCTGGAGTTCACACAGCTAGAATAGTTCAAACAGAATGAATGGTTAATAGTTCAAATAGAATAGAATGGTTCAAAGCCAGGGTTCGAACCAAGGAAGACCTTCTCTAGTTTTTGCTCTTATAAATACAGTATAGCACTTTGGGAGACCACCTGCGGTCAGGAGTTTGAGATCAGCCTGGCCACCATGGTGAGACCCCATCTCTACTAAAAATACAAACATTAGCCAGGCCTGATTGCATGCACCTGTAATCCCAGCTACTCAGGAGGTTGAGGCAGGAGGATTGCTTAAGCCCGGGAGGCAGAGGTTGCAGTGAGTCAAGATCACACCACTGCACTCCATCCAGCCTGGGTGAAAGAACCAGACTCCATCTCAAAAAATAAATAAGTAAAACATAAATGCAATATAGGTAATAATTGAATTTGTGTATTGCCCTACAGTTTCAAGAGCATTTTCACCTGATCTCAATGGATTTGACAGTCCCATTTTGCAGTTGAGAACACTGAAGCCCATTTGACTTATCAGAGAGCTGCAGTTGACCTTACTGCTTTACCTATCAATAACACTCATGGCCTTTGCTTTTAAGGTTTACAGCACTTTGCAGCTGTAAGCTCAGCTCTTTCACTGGTTCACTTTGATGATTATGAAAATTCATTTCCATAGAATGCCAAGAAGAGGAGGCATTATAAAGGCAATAGACATATTCAAGTGCAGATTGTGAATTGTTGGTTAAAACTCAGAAGGTATTTTCCCATAGAAACAGTGTGAGTCATGGCAGTAGGTGTGCAGGCTAACCCACAAATGCTAGGATGTGCCTTACTGTTACCACAGTCACTGCAGTTCTCCAGGGCCTGGGGTGGAGAGAAACTCAGGTATGGAGGGAGGACAGGGTGGTGGCGGTAGCCCCTTCCATTGGAGGGCCAAGGCCTGGAGGTGGAGGGAGCCTGGGAGCAGCTGAGGAAAAGTCAAAAATAAGCTGAGTGTTTGTGAACTGGGGGCCTGCCTGGCATGGTTTATACATAGACTCTACATAAGACTCTATGCTGCTTAAATACAAGAGAATAACATTTGCCTTATTTATTTAGTTTTCGTATTTTATTTTGTAGAGGGGGTGGGTCTCGTTGTGTTACCCCAGCTTGTCTTAAACTCCTGGCCTCAAGAAATTCTCCCTCCTGGGCCTCCCAAAGTTTGGGATTACATTTTCCATTTAATCAAAGAGATTTCCTGGAATAACAGACACTCCACATCTAAGGGATATGGAACCTTAGATTCCGTGCTTAACAAGGTGGAGAGAGTTGAATAGCAGGCCCAAGACCAGCTGAGAGCCATTTACAGAGAGAATATCATGTCCAAATGAAGCTGCTTTCCCCAAGGAATATGGACCCTTTCCCTCCAGTCTTTAGGTCCCTGGCCTGTTTTGTTTTTGTTTTTGTTTCATTTGTTTGTTTTCTGAGAAGGAGTCTCACTCTGTGGCCCAGGCTGGAGTGCAGTGGTGTGATCTCGGTTCACTGCAACCTCCACCTCCCCAGTTCAAGTGATTCTCCTGCCTTGGCCTCCAGAGTAGCTAGGATCTCAGGTGTACACCACCATGGCCAGCTAATTTTTTTTGTATTTTTAGTGGAGATGGTTTTCATCATGTTGGCCAGGCTGGTCACAAACTCCTGATCTCAAGTGATCCTCCCTCCTCAGCCTCCCAACATCCTGGGATTACAGGCGTGAGCCCCCGCGCCTGGCGCCCGCCTTTACTCTTAACCTACAGACTTTGTACAGTTAAATCTTTATCTCAGGGTGATATTAGAATCTCATATTTGGAGTGAATGGAATCAGTCCTTTGTAATGAAGATCTCAGAGTTTTACATCTTTCCAAAATCAGGATCTTGCCAGCTGTATCCAAGATGGAAGCTGGGCATGGTCATATATTCATTGATTAATTATAATAATTAAACCCATATTAATCACTGTTAGTCATTCATCTATTCTACTCATTCTAAAAATTAGGAGGTGACTGCAAGTGTTTTTGTTTGTTGTTTTTTATTTGGAGTCCAGGATTTTCCCGGATGTTCTACAATTGTAGAAGAGTAAACATTTCTAGGCAGAAAGCTGGTTTTTCTTGTTGACAGTACTCAGAATTTGTTTTGTTTTCTGTTGTATTTTTTCCTGAGAGAAAGTAAACAGGTCTACAACCCAACCTGCCTTCTGGCCTCAAAGCGTCACCCCTGTATATTAGCAGAGAGGATCTGATAAGAGAGCTGCCATCTTAAATTCTAGAAGCTTCTTGATGACTTGACCAGAACCCAAGCCAGGGCCTGTGGTTCAGCGTAGCCCTGAAGACTGGAGTACCTTTTAAACTTTTCAAATAAGCAAAACTCACTTGAGAGAGTTTTCTTATTTTGAGCTTAAAATTAACAGAAAAACAGTTGCAATTTGAATCATCTGCGCCTTGCTCAGCAGCAGTTTAACTGAATGCTCCATGGAGCTACCCCAAGGGCAGAAGCCTCTCCCTCAAGATAAGGCTACTCAGTGATGAGTCACTATGGGGTCTAGGACATTCATCAGTCCTCAAAATGATACCATAAGTAATAGCTGTATGGCTGCCCAGAGTGAGATAACTTCTTGGGACCAGATGCCTTGCTCCAGCGTCTTGCAGGGAGTGGGAATGGAATGCAGGGTGGTGTTAAGGACAGGGAAGCTTGCTGTCTACTGGCTGGTGAGTGAGCTGAACCAGAGCCCTTGGACTCCCAGGAGATGGCCAGCCGCACAGTGCATCAGGCCAAAGACGGGGTCCTTTCTGCAGGGACATTCCCAGGCCTTCTCTCCTGTGTTCATTAGAGCAGATAAGAATCTGTATTAGTTTTTATCGATGCTATGACAAATTACCATGAGCTTCGTGGCTTAAAGACACACGCACATTTATTCCTTTGCATTTCTGGAGTTCACAGGTTGGACCTGGGAGTCATGGTACTAAAATCAAGGTGCTTGGCTGGGCGCGGTGGCTCAAGTCTGTAATCCCAGCACTTTGGGAGGCTGAGGCGGGCGGATCACAAGGTTAAGAGATTGAGACCATCCTGGTCAACATGGTGAAACCTTGTCTCTACTAAAGATACAAAAAATTAGCTGGGCATGGTGGCGCATGCCTGTAATCCCAGCTACTCAGGAGGCTGAGGCAGGAGAACTGCCTGAACCCAGAGGCGGAGGTTGCGGTGCGCTGAGATGGCACCATTGCACTCCAGCCTGGGTAACAAGAGCAAAACTCCGTCTCAAAAAAAAAAAAAAAAAAAAAATCAAAGATGCTGGCAGGGCTGTGCTCCTTCTGGATGTTCTTGGGAGAATTTCTTCCTTGCCTTTTCCAGCCTTTGCAGGCTGTCTGCCTTCCCTCGCCTGGCCATGCTGGCATTCACATCACTCCAGCCTCTGCTTTCTGTCCTCTTTCCTTCTCTGACTCTCCTGCTCCTTTCTTTCTCTGAGGAGGACCCTTCTGATTATGTTCAGAGTAACCCAAGCTAATTTTCCCATCTCAAGGTCCTTAACTTCAGCACACTGTGAAGTCCCTTTTGCTACATAAGGCAACATATTCGCAGGTTACAGGGGTTGGGATGGACCTCTTTGGGAGCCATTATTCTGCCCACCAGATAATTTATATTTCCCAATACTTCTGTACTTTATTAAGGTTTACCAACATAGTCAACAGTCAGGTGCCACACTATGAGCATACGTTCGGAGAAATGTGTTATTAGGTGATTGTGTTGTGTGAACAACACAGCAAGCACTTATGCAAGGCTAGACGGCATAGCCTACTACACACTGAGGCTGGACAGTCTAGTCTATTGCTCCCACGCAACGAGCCTCTATAGTATGTCACTGAGTACTGTAGGCAACCCTAATGCAATGCTAAGTATTCATGTGTCTGAATACAGAAAAAGCACAGTAAAAATATAGTGTTGTAATTTTCTGGAACCACTGTTGTATATTCAGTACATCATTGATTGAAATGTTATTATGTGGCACATAATGTTTAGATTTCTTTAAACATTTTTTTAATTAATTTTTTTTCTTGACATAGAGTTTCACTCTGTTGCCCAGGCTGGAGTTCAGTGGCATGATCTTGGCTCACTGCAACCTCCACCTCCCAGGTTCAAGTGATTCTCCTCTCTCAGCCTCCTGAGTAGCTGGGATTACAGGTGTGTGCCCCCACGCCTGGCTAATTTTTGTATTTTTGTAGAAATGGGGTTTCACCATGTTGGTCAGGCTGGTCTTGAACTCCTGACCTCAGGTGACCCACCTGCCTCGGCCTCCCAAAGTGCTGGAATTACAGGCATGAGCCAACATACCTGGCCCTAAACATTTATTATACAATAGTATACCCTCCTCTCCAAATGTTTTTAATCAGGGTTTTGAGTTGGAAAATCTTTTTTTCCTCACTCTCCTAAACCGTCACCATTATTTTCCATCAAGATACCTAACACTGATTCAGTGAGGCATCTGCAACTCAGGAAATTACTGAAAATATAACAGGATTGTAACACACTCCAGAATTAACCTGCCCTCAAGAGAGTATTCTTAAAATGTGCGTAACTCGACAGTCCAAACCATACAATAAGCTGAATATGGTATGGAAATATTAAATCATATAGAGTTGGCCGGGCACGGTGGCTCATGCCTGAAATCCCAGCACTTTGGGAGCCCAACATGGGCACATCACCTGAGCCCGTTTGTTGTTTAAGAGTATGTTGTTTACTTTTCATGTATTTGCATATTTTTTTTTTCAGTTTTCCTTCTGGAGTTAATTTCTGACAATGTTCTGTTGTGATCTGAGAAGGTACTTTTTATTATTTCGATCTTTTAAAATTTATTGAGACTGTTTTTGTGGTCTGACCTAGAGAAGAATGTATTTGGTAGAATGGTCTATATATGTCTGTTGGGCTTAATTGTTTATAGTGTTATGAAAATCCTCTGTGTCCTTATGGATCCTCTGTTTAGATGGTCTATTCATTATTGAAAGTAGGGGCATTGAAGTCTTCAACTATTACTATAGAACTGCCTATTTCTCCCTTCAGTTCTGTCAAGCTTTGTAGTACATGTTTTGGAGTTCTGTTATAAGGTGAGTATATATTTATAATTGTTATAGCTTCTTGATGAATTGACCCTTTTATCAATGTGTAATGACCTTTTTGTGTCTTTTAATCATTTTTGACTTAAAGCCTCCTTTCCTTCATATTGGTACAGCTACCCCAGCTCATCTTCAGTTACCATTTGCTTAGAATCTCTTTTTATATCTTTCATGTTCGATCTTTTAGATATAAAGTGAGTCACTTGTGAATAGCATATAGTTGAAACATTTTAAAATTAATAGACTATTTTCTTAGAGAAGTTTTAGGTTAATGGAAAAGTTGAGTGGAAAGTACAGTTTCCATATACCTACTGTTAACATCTTACATTATTATAGTACACTAGGCTCCACTCTTTGTGTTGTACATTCTGAGTTTCAACAATTGTATAATGACATGTATCCACCACTAAAGTGTTACACAGAATAGTTTCACTGGCAGTCTGCCAGTCTGTGTATTTTAACTAGTGAGTTTAGTCCATTTATATTTAAAGTTATATTTAACATATTTATATTAATATACATAATTATATGTTAAATATGTTATACATTAAATTACTAAGTCATTATATTACTTCTACCATTTTGCTATTTATTTTTTAAATGTCATATCTTTATTGTTCCTCATTTTCTTCAATACTATATTCTTCTGCGTTTGATTTTTTTCTAGTGGACTATTTTTACTTTCTCCATGTTTCCTTTTATGTAATTTTTAAAGTTATTTAAAAATGGTTACCATGGAGATTACATTTAGCACCCTAAATTTATAACACCATTGCTTGTTTGAATTGATCCAAACTTAGCTTCTATAGCATACAAAATTTCTCCTATACAGCTTTGTACCCATCTTATGTGGTTATTGTTACAAATTACATCCTTATACACTATGTACCCACTGCATAGATTTATAATTATTGTTTGATGCATTGTATTTTGAATCATAAGAATCAAAAAGAGGAAGTATAAACTAGAAATACAATAACATTAGCTTTTATATTTACCTATGTAGCTATCTTTACCAGAGTTCTTTATTTCTTCAAATGATTTCAACTTCAACTCACTGTCTATTGCCCTGTCATTGCTGCCCAAAGGATTCCCTTTATTTTTTTAATATATATATATTATTTAAAAAAAAAAATATATATATGTATTATTTTTTAGAATGAGTCTCACTCTGTTGCCCAGACTGGAGAGCAGTGGCATGATCTCAGCTCACTGTGATCTCTGCCTCCCAGGTTCAAGTGATTCTCCTGCCTCAGTCTCCCGAGTAGCTGGGATTACAGGCATCCACCACCATGTGCAGCTAATTTTTGTATTTTTTAGTAGTGACGGGGTTTCAGCATGTTTATTAGGCTGGTCTCGAACTCCTGACCTCAGGAGATCCACCTGCCTCGGCCTCCCAAAGTGCTGGGATACAGGCGTGAGCCACCATGCCTGGCTAGGACTCCCTTTAGCATTTCCTATAGGGTAAGTCTAGTGGCAGCAAACTCCCTCAGCTTTTGTTTACCTGGGAATGTTTTAATATTTTCCTTTTTTTTCTTGAGACAGAGTTTCACTTGGTTGCCCAGGCTGAAGTACAGTGGCACAATCTCAGCTCACTGTAACCTCTGCCTCCTGGGTTCAAGAAATTTTCCTGCCTCAGCCTCCTGAGCAGCTGAGGGACTACAGGCACATGGCACCACACTTGGCTGATTTTTGCATTTTTAAAATAGAGATGGGGTTTCACCATATTGGCCAGGCTGGTCTCAAATTCTTGACCTCAAGTGATCCACCCACCCAAGCCTCCCAAAGTGCTGAGATCATTTACAGGCATGAGCCACCATGCCCAGCCTATATCTTCCTAATTTTTGAAGAACAATTTTACTTGATATAGAATTCTTGCTAGACAGTTTTTTTTTTCCTTTCAGCACTTGAGTATGTCATTACACTGCTTTCTGGCTGTCATTGTTTCTGATGATAAATTAAGGGTATATATTGAATAACCTACGCACAATGAGTCATTTATCTCTTGCTGTTTTCAAGATTCTTCTTTGTCTTTGGATGTTGACAGTGTGATTATAAATGTGATTGATTATCATGGTGTGGATCTCTTTGTGATTATCCTACTTGGAGTTCATTGAAATTCTTTGATGTGTAGACTTATATCTTTCATCAAATTGGGACTTTTGGGCCATTCAAATGTCTTTCTACATCTTTTTCATATGTTTGTATGCTTGATGGTATCTCACAAATCTCTTAAGCTCTGTTTATTTTTCATTATTTTTTTCTTTATGCTCATCAAACTGGATAACTTCAATTATTTTATCTTCAGGTTCACTGATTCTTCTGCCTGTTCAAATATACTACTAAACTCCTCTAGTAAATTGTTTTTTCAGCTATTAAACTTGGCTCCAGTTGTGTAAAATTTGGTTTCTTTGACAATTTGTATTTCTTTATTGATAACCTTTACTTGTTCGTACATTAGTTTCCTTTAGGTCTTTGAGCAAATTTAAGGTGGTTGATATTTAAAGTCATATTATTTAATATGCTATATTTATATATTTAAACTCTTTCCCTAGTCATTCCAATGTCTAGCTTCCTCTAGCATGGTTTTTGTCTATTATTTTTTTCTGTGGATGAGCTGTACTTTCCTGTTTCTTTGTATGCCTGTATTTTTTGTTGTTTAAAACTGGACATTTTGAACACTATACTGTGGTAACTCTAGATAGCACACTTTCTTCTCTCCCCAGGATTTGCTGTTGTTGATTGTTGAGGACTGCAGTAGTCTGTTTGTTTAGTGACTTTTCCAAACTATTTTTGTAAAGACCATGTTCTCTGTTTTGTGTAGTCACTGAAGTTTCTGTTCTATTATTTCACTGGCCAGCCAGTGACCTGACAGAGGTTTCCTTAAATGCCCAGAGCCAAAAAGAAAAATCAAAGCAACTCCATTGGTCTTTGCATATTGGCTGGGGTACTCCTTTAACTCTGCCTTAGCCCTTACCTCCTGCTTGCATGGAGCCCAAAGACCAGCCAGATGTGCAAGTATATGATTTATTCTGAGCCTATATCTGGCTTTGAGCCTGTGTGTTGCACTCTAGATTCCCTAGTATACAAGACAGCCCTTCAGAGCATTTATTCCTCCTCCTTGCTCCTCCCCCAAGACTCCTCCTCCTCAGCTTTCTCCTATTGAGGCTTTTGAGTCTGTCTTCTGCTTGCCTGCTTTTTCATCCTTTGCTCCAGGCAGCTATGGGTATCGCATGTCTTTGCTTGCCTTTGCCGTTTCTGTGGTACCACTCCTCCTCCTGCCAGATTTTGCCCCAGCCCTTTATTTCTCTGATTTCCTTCATCATTTTCCCCTTATGAGTATCTTGCCTTAGATGACAAATGATTCTAGTCTCACTCATCTAAAAAGAAAATAATCTCCATCCAATTTTTGTCTTCTCCAAAGATTGTCTACATTCTCTCTCTCCCCTTCAATTTTTTTTGCCCCACAAACCCCTACATTCTTGTTTTTATTAAATTATGCTCCTTAAAGACAACCTATGATTTCCTAATTGCTCTGTGAAAGTTGAGGGGTTTTTAGTCAACTTCTTGTATGTTTTGGAGGCATTGTTCAATGCTGACCCATCCTTCCTTCCTGAAACATTTGTTCCTTTTGACTTCTGTGACATTTACTGGTTTATGTTTCCTGACATTTGTGATTCTTTTGATTCTTCCTGACATTTATTATTCTCTCTTTTATGGGCTTATCTCCTTCCACCCACTCCTTAACTCCTTAAACTCCGAGATCCCCCAAGGCTTAACCCCTCACCCACAGTCTTCGTTACACACTCTCTGGGGGATCTTGTCCACACTCACTCATTGTTTTGACATTATCTATACACCGATAACTCCCAATTCTGTGTCTCTAAAACTTTTATTTTCCTCCTTAAGAAGAGAACTCATATATCCTATTTCCTACTAGATGGATAGATCAACATCTCACAGGTACCAAAACAGAAACTACCCTAACCTCTTCCTCCAGTATTCTCAATCACCACTGGAAATACCACCTGTCACTAGGTTAGAAATTGAGTTTCAATTTAAACTCCCTGTTCTTTGTTATCAACACACAAGGAATCAGTGAGTTTTGTCTGTTTAGCCTCTTGGGTATGTCCTTCTCTCTTGGACCACTGTGTCAGCATCCTCAGTAGTCTCTCTCTCAGTGCTGTCATCCGGTAATTTCTTTCTTTTCTTTTCTTCTTTTTTTTTTTTGAGACAGATTTTCACTCTGTCACTCAGGCTAGAGTACAGTGGCATGATCTCAGCTCACTGCAACCTCTGCCTCCTGGGTTCAAGCAGTTCTTATGCCTCAGCCTCCCAAATAGCTGAGATTACAGGCACACACCACCATGCCCAGCTAATTTTTGTGTGTGTATATATATATTTTTTAGCAGAGACAGGGTTTTGCCATGTTGCCCAGGCTGGTCTCAAACTCCTGAGCTCAGACAATCCACCTGCCTTGGCCTCCCAAAGTGCTAGGATTACAGGCATGAGCCACCAGGCCCAGCCCCCTAATTCCTTTCTCATCTGCAGAAGAGGAAATTCTTCAATGCAAATATAATCATATCCTTCCTGCTTTTAGTTCTTTAGTGGCTGCCCATCTTCTTCAGCTCCTTCATCAATCAGGCCCCCACACATCTCACTATTGACACTTCCTGCTTCTGACTTTATGTTACAGCGCCTTTGGACTGCAGCCATTCATCTGCATTTGCCAGGCCTTTTCTTGCCTCTGTGTCTTCCCTCCCTCTCCCACTCCATAACACCTACTCACATCATTCCTAAAGGCATTCCTGGCTCCATCCTCAAGGTCACTGCTCTGAGCTCTGGGGACACATTGGGCCTATTCTAGTGGTTGCATTCGTACACTGTTCTGCAGTGATCTGTCTCCATGCCTTTCCCTTTTACTTCAGGCTGCTCGTATACCCATCACCTTTTGCATTCCTGCCACATTGTTAATCCTCAGCTGAAGTTAACAGAACAAATCCATGAATAAATGAACAAATGATGTACAGATTTTTTTCCCCTTCCTATGGGAAAGAGTTGGCAAAATAGAAATTAGAAGCAGTAACTGGAAACAATCATGAGAAATCTTTCAAATAGAAAACAATACACTGCTGGTTTAACTGGTTTTTAAAAGTAATCATATTTAAAGCAATATTTAGAGTAGCATTTGAACTTTATGGAATTCTAAATTGGGAGAGATTACAGAAGGTCATCTGTCTCAACCTCTAGTTTCTGAAATACAATAATTAAAAAGAAAAAAAATGCTTATTTTAAAAGATGCCCTTTAAAAGAGTTTCATGTGTCTTGAACCATCCCTGGACAATGAGCCTTACAATTTCTGGACCTGCTGAACTAAAACTGTTCAACCAAATACTAAAATAAGCTCCAAGGAAAGGAGTGGGGAGGTTTGCTGTGGAGAAGAGCTGGTGTTGCCTAGTAACCTATAGGCAGCCCTGCCATAGGCTTGCGCTTGCCTGACCTCCCAGATAGCCAGGAGCAAGGAAACTTACTTGTCAACGTACTGATACCTCCTTCTTTTCTGTCTCTTTAAAGAGCACCATTCTCAGTTCACTGCAACCTCCGCCTCCTGGGTTCAAGCCATTCTCATGCCTCAGCCTCCCCAGTAGCTGAGAATACAGGCACGCACCACCATGCCCAGCTACTTTTTTATATATTTTTTTTTTCAGTAGAGACTGGTGAAAGTCATTAAGTCCTAATCTTTGTTTCTAGCTAGTGGTTGTCAATCTATAGCGTATGTAAGGCTTGTTAAACCATAGATTACTGGCTCCACCCCCAGAGTTTCCGATTCAGATGTCTGGGCTGGGGTCCAAGAATCTGCATTGCTCGAAAGTGCGTCCCAGGTGATGTTGGTGATGCTGGTCTGGGGACCACATTTTGAGAGCCACTGTTCCATGCTGTCTCTGAGAATGGCCACGATGACTCACATGACGACCTTCAGGATGCAGTTAAATGGGATTTAAGGTTATATTTTTATGCCTCTCAAATACTCAAATAAATGTCATGTTGGAGGATGTAAACCATCACCTTGTCTGGGCTGCTTTCTAAACTATTTTGCTTTTAGGTTAGTAGTTTTGTTTCTCTGGCCTTCTTGGATCCTTCGTAGATAGGTCACTGGGCTATTGTGCCTTATAGTTAATGAAATCATCACTGATGTGGAATACTAATAGGGCAAGTTTTCAAGAGCTACAGACAGGGTCTCTGCATGCATTGTGACCAGTTGTTTAGGAACTTTTGTACTTTTTAACAAGCACATTTTTTAAAAACACATGAAAGTGAATGTTCTAAAGTGATACAATTTTTTTTTTTTTTGAGATGGAGTCTCTGACGCCCAGGCTTGGAATGTAATGATACAATCTCCACTCACTGCAACCTCTGCCTCCTGGGTTCAAGCGATTCTCCTGCCTCAAACTCCTGAGTAGCTGGGACTACAGGCATGGATCACCATGCCCGGCTGATTTTTGTATTTTTAGTAGAGATGGGGTTTTGCCATGCTGGCCAGGCTGGTCCCAAACCCCTGATCTCAGGTGATCTGCCGCCTTGGCCTCCCAAAAGTTCTAGGATTACAGGCGCGAGCCACCGAGCCTGGCCTAAAGTGATAGAATATTTTAAATAAGTCTGTGTCTATGTTTTTGGATTTTTTGTTTGTTTAATCTTTTGTTTTGTTTTGTTTTTGCTGATTTGTTTGTTTGTTTTTTTGAGATAGAGTCTGGGTCTGTGGTCAATCACCAGGCTGGAGTGCAGTGATTCAATCTTGGCTCACTGCAACCTCCACCTCCCGGGTTCAAGCAATTCTCCTGCCTCAGGGTCCTGAGTAGCTGGGACTACAGGCTTACGTCACCATGCCCAGCTCATTTTTGTATTTTTTTAGTAGAGACAGGGTTTCACTATGTTGGCCAGGATGGTCTCTATCTCTTGACCTTGTGATCCACCTGCCTCAGCCTCCCAAAGTTCTGGGATTATAGGCGTGAGCCACCAAGCCCGGCCTGTTTTTGCTGTTTTTAAAGGAAAAAGAAGAGAATAAAAAGATGAGTGTTGAGAGTGCTGATAGAGAGCAGTGTGACTCCCAAGTGTCACAGGGGCTCAGATGCCACAAAGACCCCAGATATGGCTGTGTACAGGCACTCTTTGTTCATGCTTCACACCAGCTTCAAAGCAGAACCAACCGAGGCAGGAGTGAGCAATGTGAAATGTACAGACTGAGAGGGTTTCATTGCTACCACTCAGCATTTCACCCCCAGATTCCCCATTAGTTTTTGTTACAAGTTTCTCTGCTGCAGAGCCCTGCTCTCTCTTCATTCACTCTCCCTGGCTGCAACCAAGTGGAAGCCATTGCCACCTTTTCCTTTGCAATACTAAGCAGTTTAGCTGAGTCCCAGCTCTCTCAAGTCCAGCCACCAGCTGGCCCAGGCTCAAAAAGGACTCAGGAAAGCACATTATCAAAGCAGGTCGCCTGCAGAGGGATTTTATCAGTAAGGGTCCTGGCAGGAACAGATGGAGCACTCCAATGGGTAATTTGAGGAGAATTTAATTGAGGGGCCATTTAAAGGCATAGGCCAGGTTTAGGGAAAACAATTAGGGCTAGGAACAGCGGACTGACTTACCCCTCTCTATTAGGCAGAATTCTAAGAAGACTTCCAATGTGTCACACCCTTGTATAATCTGCCCTTAAATATGGGTAGAACTTGGTGGGGTGCAGTAGCTTATGCCTGTAATCCCAACACTTATTAGCCAGGAGTGGTGGCAGGTGTAATTCCAGCTACTCAGGAGTCTGAGGCAGGAGACTCACTTGAACCCAGGAGGTGGAGGTTGCAGTGATCTGAGATCGTGCCACTGCACTGCAGCCTGGGCAACAGAATGAGACGCCATCTCAAAATATATATATACATATGGGTGAAAATTGTGATTTGTGTCTAGCCAATAAAATATGACAGAGGTGATGGGCTATCACTCCTATGATCAAGTTCCATTGTGGAGGAATGTGTCTTAGCTGACTAGTGAGAGAGTCTCCTGCTGGCCTTGGAGAAGTGAGCCACGATGTTGTGAGACAGCCATCTGGCAGGGAGCCATGGGTAACTTCTAAGACCTGGAGTGGTCCTTGGTTGAAAGCCAGCAAGCAAGAAAGCAGCATTCTCAGTACCATGATGATGAGAAATCAAGTTCTGCCAATTGCCATGTGAGTTTAGAAGAGAACTCAAGCTCCAGAAAGAAATGCAGTGTGGCCAACACCCGAGTGGTAGCCTTGCAAGAGCTGAACAGAGGACCCAGCTAAGCCAGGCCCAGATGCCTGATCCACAGAGACTGTAAGATAAGGCATGTGTGCTGTTTTAAGCCACTGAGTTTGTGGTGATTTGTTAGGCAGAATAGATGGCTATGACATATCCCTAAGACCCCAAGACTAATGAGGCAATGAGAGAGGGCAGTTACCAGAACCCAAAGGATGGGCATTCTGGCCAGAGCTGTGGCCTTCGGGAGGCACAGCCAACCTGTGGCAGCCTGAGCAGGAGGGAGCGAGGGAAGGAGGACTCTAACCTCCCCCTCACCCTGTTCTCTGGCCCTTGTCAGTGCTCCCACTAGAAAACCCAGACAGAGGAAGCAGAGAAGCAACTGGCTTCTAGAGTCCCACATGGCAGCTTCTCAGGGCATACTGCAGGGTGCAGAGGGGAGCACAGCAGATTTGGAGGGGCAAATGATATATATATACATCTAGTACCTGTGTATTCTCAGACCAGACACAAGACAAATAAGCTTTCTTTCAAATACATTCAATGTTTGACAGTAGAGTAGAAAGACTATACTTAATAAAAATGTACTGTACTTGGACGATGGACAGCATGAATACTCTGACTTGATCAGTATACATTATATACACGCAACAAAATTTCACAGGATCCATAAGTTGGTATAATTATTTATTTATTTTTTGACTCAGAGTCTTGCTCTGTTGCCAAGGCCCAGGCTAGAGTGCAGAGGTGAGATCTTAGCTCCCTGCAACCTCCGCCTCCCAGGTTCAAGTGATTCTTGTGCCTCAGCCTCCAGAGTAGATGGGACTACAGGCTCACATCACCACGCCCGGCTCATTTTTGTATTTTTAGTAGAGACTTGGTTTCACCATGTTGGCCAGGCTGGTCTCGAACTCCTGACCTCAAGTGATCCACATGCCTAGGCCTCCCAGAGTGCTGAGATTACAGGTGTGAGCCACCATGCCTGGCCCATAAGTTTGTGCAAATTTAAAAAGAAAAAGTGAAAAAGAGTTTTCTTTCATCTTGTTATCTATATAAATGGACAGCAGAAAGGAAAAGAAATGATAATTGAGGTCTGGGTTTCCACAGTGGAACTAAATAAAAGTATCCTATAAACTAAAATGACTTAAATCTTGACTTTCTCCCTTGATAAGTAGGCTAATCAAAGCATATCTGGACATAAGTTGCTTTACTCCAGAGGCCCCTGTACTATAATTACACTTTAGGCGCCGGCATTTTTCAAGGTCTAGAGAGAGACAATGTGTATACTAAGGCTGGATAAGAATTAGATGAGATACACACATCAAAGAAAAAAAAAAAAGGTTGGCCATAAATCATACAGTGCTGTAGTTACTGGGCAGATGAATGGTCTCTAGAGAACACTTTTGCTGTTAGTTTTTCCTAGTCATTCCCTAAAAGATATAATTTATTCTCTGCTATGATAAGAAATGGATTAGTTCAAATACCTGTGTCTGCTTTTATAGCTATACAGTTAAGGATCTGCATTCATTTGCCCTGGCTGCTTTAACACGGTACCACCAACTGGGTGGCTTACACAAATGAAATGTATTGTCTCACAGTTCTGGAGGCTGGAAGTCCCAGATCAAGGTGTCAGCATGGCTGAGATTGGTTGGTTGTTTCTGAGACAGGATCTTGCTCTGGTGGCCAGGCTGGAGTTCAGTGACACAGTCACGACTCACTGTAACCCTGACTTCCTGGGCTCAAGCAATCCTCTAATCTCAGGCTCAGGAGCAGCTGAGACCAGGGACCATAGGCATGTATCACCTCACCAAGCAAAATTTTTATTTTTTTTACTAATTTTTCAATGTTTTGTAGAAACACAGTCTTGCTTTATTGCCCAGGCTGGTCTCAAACTCCCAGGCTCAAGCAGTCTTCCTGCCTTGGCCTTCCAAAGTGCTAAGTTACAGGTGTGAGCCGCCACACTGACCAGGGTTGGTTTTGTTTTCCTGGTTGGTCGGTTCTGTTGGTTTTGAGACAGGGTCTTACTCTATTGCTCAGGCTGGAGTGCAGTGGCACAGTCATAGCTCACTGCAGCCTTGACCTCCCAGGCTTAAGCAATCCTCCTACCTCAGCCTCCTAATTAGCTGGGACCACAAGTGAGCACCCCCCCCATGCCTGGCTAATTTTTTAAAATTTTGTAGCAACAGCCTCCCTTTGTTGCCCAGGCTAGTTTTGAATTCCTGGGTTCAAGCAATCCTCCCCCTTCGGCATCCCAAAGTGCTGGGATTGCAGGTGTGAGCCACCATGCCCAGACCCATTTTACATTTATAGGATGTAAAATATGTCTTCAACCCATGTTAAATAAACCAAAGTTCATGTTTATGTACAGATATGGAACCATAGCCAAGATAAAGAGATAAGTGAAAAAGAAAATAAGGATTGGGAGAGTAGTATTTGCTGGTATGTGCATAGAAATATTTCTGAAAGGTAACACAAAACTTGCTAACAGTGGTTTTCCCTGGAGAGTGGGAATAGGATGGGGACATTCCCTGCAAATTCATTTGTATCTTTTGAATTTGGTTCCATGTGTATGTACTAGATCTTTGAAAACATGGGTGATTAAACATTTTTAAAGGTATCCGTGTTCTACAAACCAAAATATATGCTCAACATTGGAGGTGACCTTCCAGAAAATAAAAATAATGAATTTTCCCTCAATGGACAAGGTTGTCAATAGGCAGTCCTCCCATATCTGATATTTATCCTCATGTGCTAAGAATGATTTATTCACCTCCACCAATGAACTCATTTCCACGAGGGGTACAGAGTTTTTAATTATGTGGCCATGTACAAAATCAGAAATGTTCTGTCTTTCTGGTTTGCCTACGTGCTTTACACAGGAAAACTGGAAAACATGCTTTCATGCAAACTATTGCAGGGAAAAGGACTATAAACATCAAACCGTTAAAACAATCACTGTGATTGGGAGGTGAGTGGGGAGGCCATATTCATGTTTGTACTATTTTTGAAGTACTTCCTGGGCCATAATTAAAGGGGAAACAATCTTACACTATTTGCTTTTCTGTTTAACAGTATAGGTGGTTGTATAGGATGTTTCTGTTACTTTTTTTCCTTTTTTGAGAAAGAAAAAAAGGCTGTTGCCCAGGCTGGAGTACAGTGGCACGATCTTGGCTCACTGCAACCTCCACCTCCTGGGCTCAAGCCATCCTCCCACCTCAGCCTCCCAAGTAGCACACACCACCATACCCAGCTAATTTTTTGTATTTTTAGTAGAGATGGGGTTTTGCCATGTTGCCCAGGCTGGTCTCGAACTTCTGAGCTCAAGCAACCCACCCACTTCGGCCTCCCAGAGTGCTGGGATTGCAGGCGTGAGCGACCATACCCAGCCTGTTACTATTTATTGATCTCTCTGTTCCCTTTGGCGTTGTTCTAGTGGTGTCGTGCAAATTGAGAATGAGGTAGTTTTTTTTTCTAACTCAATAAAATGGCATCATAGAAGAGATTCCTACAATCAAGCAGTTGTTTTCTTTAGAAACTTAACAGTTCTTTTTTAGAATACTTTAGAGACCCAGAATATATCAGTTATTAATTCTTTCCTCTCCTTTCTATCAGGCTGTGTGACCCTGGTTACTGTAGGCTCTTATGTAAAATGAGCTCTTTGCAGGTAAACACCTCTGTTCAAATTACATTCTGGAATTGCTCAGCCCTCAGACAGAAAACTCACAAGGATCACATTTAGGAAACTGTCGTGCCTGGTCCAGATCCTCATCACATCCAGTCAGTCAGCCAAGCAGACAGTCCCAAGGCTTTCAAGACTTTGCACGAAGCTGCTGTATGTATGAATGGAGATTTTTGGTTGGCTTGGGAGTGGGGTAGGGGAAGGTGGTTATTATTTCCTTAAAAAATATGTCTTCAAATTAGTGATTTCAAAATGACATTGTTATTCAAATCAATTGTAGCCAAAGGAAAGGAAGTAAAGAAAAGCATTAATTAATGATAAGGTTTCCTGCTGTTCTCAAGCAAGGCTCTCTCCAAAGCAGGCTGCGTAAAAATTGGTCCAGCCTCACTGTGCCCCGGTGCATTTACTAGGACATTATTAATTTGCTTAACGATGAGCTGTCACACAATTCTTACATGCAGCCCCCTAAAAGCAAAGATGCTGTACCTTCCAGTTCTAACTATGCTTTCGACTTTCTATCAGGGAACATGGAAAAAATGGGAGCTAGGTGAAGAGGACATCTAATTAAGGTGTATCCCCAAAACTCCTTTTTAAGCAGCTTTCAACCTCTTTGAATTCATGCTAAAATTAAATGTTCCTCTGAATAAATGGGTGTATCTGAATACATAAATGTGCATGTGTGTGAACGAAACCATCTACTTTTCCATAAAATAAAACATATGGGCGGTTCACATTACCTGCTGAAATAACCTGGCAAAGTTGTTTTAAAGCAAATTATTCCCCAAACTTTTTATCTAATATTTTCTCCTCTGATTATATTTGATTACTAGTTTCTAGCCTTTATCTCAACAATGTAGAACTCTTAGCAGCATCCAACATAGAGAAACGAGAGTCAGGAGGGAGACAGTTTCATCAAAGGAAATATTAGATGCATCTATGCTTTCCTTGTTCTCTGACTCCCAATCTTTCTTTTTTTTTTTTTTTTCTTTAAAATGGAGGCTCACTCTGTCAGCCAGGCTGGAGTGCAGTGGCGCGATCTTGGCTCATGCAACCTCCACCTCTCAGATTCAAGCATTTCTCCGGCTGCAGCCTCTCAAGTAGCTGGGATTACAGGCGCCTGCCACCATGCCTGGCTAATTTTTTGTATTTGGTACAGACAAAGTTTCACCATGTTGGCCAGGCTGGTCTCAAACTCCTGACCTCAAGTGATCTGCCTGCCCTGGCCTCCCAAAGTGCTGGGATTACATGTGTGAGCCCCACTGCCCAGTCCATTTTTTACTCTAATATAACTCTTTTTATTCAGCTGAGTTCAGAGTAATATCACCAAGGAAGAAAATGAGAGTTCAATCTGATTCGTATTTATAACAAAAAATTATAATGTTTCATATAATAAGGTACAATAATAAATTATAAATGGTTTTAGATAATAATGGTGAATAATTTACTGCTTGGAATGTATCAGTATATCAGTTGAGAAAAATTCTTCTAAGCCCCAAAGTAATATTATTCAAAGCTGCCATAGCTCTAATAAACCAAAAATAAAATTCTAAGTCCCCAGCCGGCTGAACAAACTCCATTTCATGGAATCTGCCAAAGGGATTCCAAGAAACCTGAAAAACTAGTTAAGGTCATGATGGGAAGGTGGGGCTCAGGCATGCCTCATTTCACCCTCTCCATTCTGGAGTTTCGACACAACTGGGCAACATTAACTTCATCGCACAGATCCCAGACTGACAGAAGAGACTCCTCACAGAAATAAGATACCAATGACATCACATGACAGATAACAGACCCTAAAGGGAATCAAAGTATTTTACCCCAACATCTATTTATTTCCAAAGCCATCTCTTGTGGGGAAAATTTACATTCTGTAGTGAGTCTCCTTCCCTTTCCAGGTCTCTTCCTGATCCGCAAGAGATTTCACTAAGAGCCTGATGGCTTTTAGCTTTTTCTTTTGAGACGGACTTTCACTCTTGTCGCCCAGGTGGGAGTGCAGTGGAGTGATCTCAGCTCACTGCAACCTCTGCCTCCTGGGTTCATGCAATTCTCCTACCTCGGCCTCCTGAGTAGCTGGAATTTTAGGTGCCTTCTAGCAGGGCCAGCTAATTTTTGTATTTTTAGTAGCGATGGTTTCACCATGTTGGCCAGGCTGGTCTTGAACTCCTGACCTAAGGTGATCCACCTTGGCCTTCCAAAGTGCTGGGATAACAAGTGTGAGCCACTGCCCTGGGGGCTCCTGATAGCTTTTTTTAAAATTGCATTTTAGGTTTTGGGGTACATGTGAAGAACATGCAAGATTGTTGCATAGGTACACATATGGCAGTGTGGTTTGCTGCCTTCCTCCCCATCACCTATATCTGGCATTTCTCCCCATGCTATCTCTTCCCAACTCCCCACCTCCCGCTGTCCCTCCCTTATTTCCCCCCCACAGACCTCAGTGTGTGATGCTCCCCTCCCTGTGTCCATGTGTTCTCATTGTTCAACATCCACCTATGAGTGAGAACATGTAGTGTTTGATTTTCTGTTCTTGTGTCAGTTTGCTGAGAATCATCGTTTCCGGGTTCATCCATGTCCCTACAAAGGACATGAATTCATCGTTTTTGATGGCTGCATAGTATTCCATGGTGTCTATGTGCCACATTTTCCCTGTCCAGTCTGTCATCAGTGGGCATTTGGGTTGGTTCCAAGTCTTTGCTATTGTAAACAGTGCTGCAATGAACATTCGTGTGCATGTGTCCTTATAATAGAACGATTTATAATCCTTTGGATAGATACCCAGTAATCAGATTGCTGGGTCACTAATAGCTTTTAAGCTCTGATAAGAGACATTGACCACCTACTCTCTCTGAAGCCTCTTTAATAGGTCCTTGGCTTCTACAATTCCCCTTATCTTATCCCCAAGCATTTCTTTCTGCTGACTTTAACTCTGTAGGCAAAGCTTAACTCTTTCAACTGATTGCCAATCAGGAAATCTTTGAATCAAACCATAAACTGGAAGCCACCCCCTCCCACCCTTCAACATGTCCCCTCTTTCCAGGCCAAACCAATGTATACTTACACGTACAGATTTATGTCTCTGCCTGTAACTTCTGTTTCCTCAAAAAGTATAAAATCAAGCAATGTAACCCAACCACCCTGGGCACATGTCCTCAGGACCTCCTGATGCTGTAGCACAAGTCATGGTCTTCACATTTGCTCAGAATACACCTCTCCAAATCTATACTCTTTAAAGTTTACAAAGCATTTTTTTGTTTGCGCATTTGATTTGCTCAATAACCATTTAAATACAGCATTCCCATTTCACAGATGAGGAAAATATGGCTCAAGAAGCTCCCATAAATTGCGGGGATACACACAGCTAGTAATGGGCAAGGTCATGCCTGAATGTGCTTCTGAAGCAAAACACGTTTTAGCTCCTTACCCCCCTTTCTTCTCCCTCTATCTGAAAAAGGCGTTCAACTCAGAGTTCCTGATTGTGACATAGGGTACAATCCCTGCCAGGGTATTTTGGTTTTAAAAGAAGACTAAGTAAATAACTTAAATGAATTTTCTCTAACAGTGGACTTTGAGGCACTAGATTAAATAGTGATGGAAAAATAATGATAGTAATAGTTACTATTTTTTGAGTATTTGCCCATAGGCAAAGTGTTGGTCACTGAGTCCTTGCAGTCTTTCCAGGGCAGGGGTTATAATGACCACTTTTCCAATGTGGGAGCTGAGGGGCTTGAGGAGGTAAGTCCCTTTCTCAAGGTCCCACTCCTGGTGCAGGGGAAAGAGCGAGAACTCCCCCAGCTGTGTCTGATTCTAAAGCCTTGGCTCTTTCAACTGAATTAGCCAGCTCCAAGGCTGCCTCCCCACTTGTGGGGAGATATGTTTCTTGGTTTATTTTTCTTTTGTAATCAGCAATGATACATGATGTAGAAGACCATTAGACTTGGAATCAGGGGACTTGGGTAAGAATCCCAGACTCCTGCTCATCCAGTTTTCCTGCAGAATTGGAGTTGCTCTTCCTTTATCCAAGTTCCCAACTTCTTCAATAAAAAAGAACTCCTCTCCTCACTCCCCTACAACTGGGTGAGAAGTTGGGGGGACCCATTTAAAAATATTTTCAAAAATGTTGTAGCAAACCACCCTACCATTATTTAGTATTTTATATTTCTTTTGGCAAGCCTGCTGCATTTTTCTCTTTGGTATCCCTCCCCCTCTTCTTTTAGGAGATACCCATGTAAGGATGTTATTAGGAGTTTCTGTGTCAGGAGGGAAGAGAACGTTCCATCCCAGATCTTTATTCATGGCTTTACATTACTTTTGCAAAGTTATTTTATTTTCAAGAGTTTCAGAGAACACTGAATTCTATTATTGGAACTTGTTGGCACTCAGCTCTTAAATTGATACAGAGGCATTAGCATTTATAATCTTTTCCTCTGCTGCTAATCACTAGCATCCTATTTGCAACTTTAGGTCTCCAGGTCAGAGACATCAGTGGGCACATAACTGACCCTTCACTTGGCCCTAGGTTATGGGAGCGCTCAACCAGAGGACAGAAAGAGTGCAAAAAAAAACATCGTAGGTGACAATGCGTATTGGTTTCCCATTTTTGTGACAATAAATTACCACTAATTTCCTGGCTTTAATACAACTCCCTTATCCTATGTTGGGAGGTCAGAAGTCCCAGTGTGAAGATGTGGGCAGGGCTGCATTCATTTCTGGAGGCTCTGGGGGAGAATCCCTTTCCTTCCCTTTCTCGGCTTCTAGAAGACTGCCTGAATGCCTGTTCCCTTCCATTTCCAAAGCCAGCAACAGCTTAATGATCTAGGCACTAGAGACCCTGCCATGAACAAGAACAGCAAAGTCCTATCCTAAAGACTGTATATCTGGCCAGGCGTGGTGGCTCATGCCTGTAATCCCAGCATAAGGCCAAGACAAGTGGATCATTTGAAGTCAAGAGTTCAAGACCAGCCAACCAACATGGTGAAAATACTAAAAATAAAATAATAAAAAACACTAAAATATAAAATACTAAATAAAATACTAAAAATACAAATATTAGCTGGGCATGGTAGCACGTGCCTGTAATCCCAGCTACTCAGGAGGCAGAGGCAGGAGAATTTCTAAGGTTGTACTGTGCCATGATTGTGCTACTGCACTTCAGCCTGGGCAACAAGACTAAAAACTCCGTCTCAAAAAAAAAAAAAAATGTGCACACACGGACACACACACACCAGGTGATAACATATGCTGTATTCATTTCTTGGGGTTGCTGTAACAAAGTACCACAAACTTGGGTGGCTTAAAACAACAGAAATTTATTCCCTCCCAGTTCTGGAGGCCAGCAGTCTGAGATGAATGTGTCAGCAGAGCCATATGTCCTTGAAGTCTCCCTAGAATAATCTTTTCTTGCCTCTCCTGGCTTCTGAGGGCTGCCTGCAGCCTTTGGCATTCCCTGGCTTGCAAATGCATTGCTCCAGTCTCTGCATCACGGTCACACGGTCACATGGCCGTCTTCCTGTGTGTGTCCCTGTGTTCCCTCTCTTCTTGTAAAGACGCAAGTCATATTGAATTCAGGGCCCACCCTCATCCAGTATAACCTCATCTTAACTAATGACATCTCTGAAGGCCCTATTTCCAAACAAGGCCACGTTCTGAGGTTCTGGGTGGACATGAATTCTGGGGGGATATCATTCAACCCACATGCTGTGCAGAAAAAGAAAGCAGTGTCGGGGAAAGAGCACAGGGTGGTGCCATTTAAATAAGGAAGTCATTTGCAAGGAGGCCTAAATGAAGGCAGAGAGGGACCCAGGAGGTGCCCAGAAGAAGGGTCCCTATTGCCTTGTAGACCGAGGTGGGGATTTTAGAGTTAGCCACCTTCCAGGAAGTTTGTGAGGGTGAAGTGAGGTAAGCACTTCAGAATATCCAGCTTAAACTAGCCACGTGGGAAGTATGAGTTCTCTTCCTCCTCGCTCATCATCCCAGCTCGGAAACAGCACAATAAAGCATTTTTCTCTGTTTGGTTTGTCTAATTACAAATGAGAATTTCTTTTCTTGTTAACTGATCACCCCATACAGGATCTGACACTTTCCATTCTTCAGGGACTGCATTTCAAGACTTGTAGGAGATCAACTCCATCAAGGGAACTTCATTAAGGAGAACACCTGCTCAACACCTGCAGTGCAAGTGCAGTTAGAGACAAATCCCTTTTCTCATCTCTGACAACGCTCAGCGGACACTGGAGAGGAACATGACTGCATTCTAGAAGAGTGTCTCCTGTCTTCTATTTCCAGCGTGGCCCTATTACGGAAATAAGCTAATGGACTTCAAAGGTTTGTGTATCGTTTACAACTGATCTTATTGCACTTTTTGTTAGACAAGTATTTGAATGAATGAAAGAAGTGTAAGATGATGGATGAATACATTTCCATAGATGAAAGCTCATTCTACCCCTGGGACTGTTTATCAAGCACTACAAATCTTTGAAAATTTCTAATTAATCTGTGTAAATCTCATCACCCCTCATTGTCTTTAAAATATGCATTTTAGAATGACATTTCAGCTATTCACTGCTTTATAGAAGTTTCTATAACTTGTTTTGGAAAATAAGCATATAGCATGGTATTCTGGGAACAGGCGTGTAGCATGGTGTCGTGGGAACAGGGGTGTAGCAGTGGTCTTGCAGGAACAGGCATGTAGCAGTGGTCTTGTGGGAACAGGCATGTAGCAGTGGTCTTGTGGGAATAGGCGTGTAGCAGTGGTGTCGTGGGAACAGGCGTGTAGCAGTGGTGTCGTGGGAACAGGCGTGTATCATGGTGTCATGGGAATGGGCGTGTAGCAGTGGTGTCGTGGGAACAGGTGTGTAGCATGGTGTTGTGGGAACAGGGGTGTAGCAGTGGTCTTGTGGGAATAGGTGTGTAGCAATGGTGTCGTGGGAATGGTCGTGTAGCAGTGGTGTCGTGGGAACAGGCATGTAGCATGGTGTGGGAACAGGCATGTAGCAGTGGTGTCATGGGAACAGACATGTAGCATGGTGTGGGAACAGGCATGTAGCAGTGGTGTTGTGGGAATGGTCGTATAGCAGTGGTCTTGTGGGAACGGGCGTGTAGCATGGTGTTGTGGGAACAGGCATGTAGCATGGTGTCATGGGAACAGGCATGTAGCAGTGGTGTCATAGGAACGGGCATGTAGCATGGTGTTGTGGGAACAGGCGTGTAGCATGGTATTGTGGGAACAGGGGTGTAGCAGTGGTCTTGTGGGAATAGGTGTGTAGCAATGGTGTCGTGGGAACCGTCGTGTAGCAGTGGTGTCGTGGGAACAGGCATGTAGCAGTGGTGTTGTGGGAACAGGCATGTAGCATGGTGTGGGAACAGGCATGTAGCAGTGGTGTCGTGGGGTGCTCATGTGCTGTGCTCCTGCAACTCTGGCCAGAGGGGACTCAGGACATCCTAAGACTATCCATTTGGTTAACATTTTAGGAAAAAACTGATTACTGTGCTGGCACTAAAAATGTTTGCCACCCAGGCTCTTTGGGGCATTACCTATGGACTTGTGTAAACATTTTGAATTCCAAATAAACACAATTCTTCTATTTGTGCCTCTGGTGTGTCTGAGATGGAAATGTCTGGATGGCAGCGGAAAATTACAAGGGCAAATGGGAAAATTCAGTCGTAAAGTGTTGTGGTGGCCTTTTAAAAAATACAAAACTAGGCTTTTCTGTTCATCCTACATCTGCTTGAAGAGTGTGGAAGTGTGGAGTGCAATCTATGCTAGAAAGAGAAAATGAGAAAATAGCTTGTGGAGAGATTAGGGAACATTTGCTACCAATTATGGCTTTCTGTCCTGAAGCCAAGTCTTGAATTCGACTCAGCAAAATGAAATAATGAATCTTTCACCGAGTGTGCTTTCATCTTCAGCTGAGATTTAATATAACATTTGGTATTTTGAATGTAGCTTTTGACGCTCCAGGAAGGGAAAGCAGCTCCGAGTTGTTTGTTTTCCCTGAGCTTCCGTCTTGTTTGGGGTGTCAGTAACACCAGAGCCTATGACAGGCAGCTGATCCCTGGGGAAGTACAGCCAAAAGGAAGATCCCAGCCAAGCCATGAACTTTAGTTCAAATGCTCATCTCTGGCAGACAATGCCATCCCTTGTGTGGATGAAAAATAGGGACAGAGCTTTGTATGGGGATGGTAATGACAATATGCCCTAAGATTCACTTTCTTATTAATGCAGGGTTTGTGCTACCACACCATGAAAGACAACTGTGTATTTACGGAAAACAGGGTCATATTCATTGTGTGCTGTCCTGGAAAACTACGAGATCTTTCCCAAACTCAAAATCTCCTCTAAAACTTAATGCCCATTGAAGGGTGTGAGCTTAATCCTCAGATTAGAAGACCCTGTTTAGAAAGTTTTCATTGTTTATTCTAATGATCTGGGCCCTTTTGACCCCCTGAGCCCTTGACCTTGATCATCACTCCCTACCCCCTTTATGAAACTCCCATTTTCCTTGGGTTTCTTGGCTGTTCTCTCAATGGAAGTTCCTTCTCTCTTCACACTGAAAATGGCACTTACAAATGTTTGCCTTCAAGGCCTCTTGTCTTGATTCTTGACACCATTTTTCTTATAGAGTGAATTCTCTTCCAGTTTAAAGAATTACAAAATCTCTATTCCAAACCTTGTCTTGCCTCCTGAGCTCTGCTTTCCTATTTCTCTATTTCTTTTTGATTGTTTGTTTGAAACAGGGTCTCGCTCTGTCACCCAGGCTGGAGTGCTGTGGTACAATCTCAGCTCACTGCAACCTCCGCCTCCTAGGTTCAAGGATTCTCCTGTCTCAGCCTCCTGAGTAGCTAGGACTACAGGCACGCACCACCATACCTGGCTAATTTTTGTATTTTTAGTAGAGACAGGGTTTCACCATTTTGAGTAGGCTGTTTGTTCTCTAATTCCTGACCTCAAGTGATCTGCCCGCCTTGGCCTCCCAGTGTGCTGGGATTACAGGTATGAGTCACCTCACCCAGTCTAATTATATTTTCTTTCTTTCTTCCTTTTTTTTGTTTTTTGTTTTTGAGACAGAGTCTTGCTTTGTCTCTCAGGCTGGAGTGCAGTGGCATGATCTCGGCTCACTGCAACCTCCGCCTCTGAGGTTCAAGAGATTCTCCCGCCTCAGCCTCCCAAGCAGCTGGGATTATAGGCACCTGCCATCATACCTGGCTAATTTTTTATATTTTTGTAGAGATAGGGTTTCATCATTTTGACCAGGCTGGTCTTGAACTTCTGACCTAGATGATCCACCCACCTTGGCCTCCCAAAGTGCTGGGATTACAGATGTGAGCCACCGCACCGGCTTCTTTTCAATTTGCATCCTATTTCCTCAACTTTTCTCCCAAGCTTTCTATTTTCATTTCTTGTATCTTGTTTTAATTTCCAAAACTCTTTCTCATTCTATGTTTCTTTTTTATATCTTCTCGTTGTTGTTTCATGCAGGTGATATTTCTGATTTCTGAAGACAAGGATGAGTCGTCTTTAAAAGTCCATTTCCTTCCAATTGCCTTTTTCAGCTCATTTCTGTTTTCTTGATAAAGGTTTTCCTCAGATGGATTCTCAGCTGCCTGCTGGTGGTAGGGGGTGAAGCTGGGTCTGTGCAGCTTTTCAACTGTGGGCTTTGCTGCAGAGTCACCCGGCTGCGCTGTTGTGGGTGTTCTGGGGTAAGGCTTGTTGGATACCCCTGAAAAGAATCTTTCATGAAGAGTATTGTTTGCTGCCAGAGTCTCAGGGTGGGCCATTACAAGTCCATGCCAGGTCTTTGTGAAAATTAGGAAGAGGCACCTTCTCTCTAGGAGCAGTGTTGGTGATCAGAAGGTACCTTCTGGACTATGAGGGAAAGGGGCACCTTCCTTTGGCACACCCTGTACCAGGGCACATGGCTGGAGAGAGAAGCTGAATCTCAGCCCCACCCAGCCCTTCAGGCAGGTACCCTGCGCAGGACGGACTTGTTCAACTGCACATGGTGGCTTTGGGGCTGGGTGAAGAAGAGGGAGGTGCATGGAAAATATTACTTTAATCTCCCCATTTCCAACACTGCAACCCCAACTGAAATTGTTTAGTACCCTCCCATCCCAGAGTTCTCAATTTTATCTACTTTTTCAGGAGAATAAGCTCTGAAAGGCAGTTGGTTTCCCAGGAGGTGTAAGGCATCTGATGTCTAGTGATACAAATGCTTCCCAAGTGCATTTACAGCCTCCTCTTTTTACATCCCACCTTTACTTACACTTCCAGAAGGGCCTGGTGTCACCAGTTCCTACATCTTCAGGAGGTTCTGCATTGCAAAGAGCTGCTTTTTAGCTCTCCCTGCTGCTGGCTTAGAATTCAGGGGGCTCAGGCTGGGCGAGGTGGCTCACACCTGTAATCCCAGCATGGGGTGAGCCCAAGGTGGGCCTGAGGATGGCCAAGGGTGAGCGGATTATCTGACGTCAGGAGTTTGAGACCACCCTGGCCAAAATGACGAAACCCCAGCTCTACTAAAAATATAAAAATTAGCCAGGCATGGTGGTGGGTGCCTGTAATCCCAACTATTCAGGAGGCTGAAGCAGCAGAATGGCATTAACCCAGGAGGCAGAGGTTGCAGTGAGCCAAGATCACACCACTCCACTCCCTGGGTGACAGAGCGAGACTCCATCTCAAAAAAAAAAAAAAGAAAAGGAAAAAAAGACTGAATAACATTGCACTATGAGTGTATGTTCATTTTCTTTATCCATTCATCCACTAATGAACATTTAGGCTGCTTCCATCTTTTCAATTTTCCTATATTTTTAGAATATCCACTGTCATTTTAGTAGGATTTCTTAAGAGATCAGAGTTAAATAAGTATTTTTCAGTCAGTTTTCTTTAACCAAAAGTTGGTGTTACTTTTTAGAAGGCTCTTCGTTTTAGCAGCTTTTAATAAAAGTTGTATGTATATAAGATGCCTTTATGACTTTTCTTCTCAATAGTTTCTTCCTTATATTTGCCCTTTTTCATTTCTCCTCAGTCTTTTCATAGCCTTTGTCCAGGTTTAGCCGATGAGAACCACTTTCTGAGTGCATACACACACATGGACCATTAGACACTGTTCTGTGAAATCACACTGAACATGTTAAGTCATGCATTCAGTGCAGATGACACATTTTTTCCTGCAAATCTGAACTACTTGGCCAATTTGCCTGCTTTTGCACTGACCTTGAATGACTTGGACTTTTGAATTTGCAAACTGGAAAGAGAAGACATAATATTCCTACTGATAGACGAAAGTGCATGGAAATGTCTTTTATGGCTTTTTGCTAGGTGAGAAGATACAAAGGGATTGAACTTTATTCTGTCCTTAAGCAGGAAGATTTCTGATTTTCTATTGGTGCACAGGATTACCCAGTATGAATAATGCTGGAGTTAAAGGATTTTTTTTTTTTTTTTGAGACAGTCTCACTCTTACCCAGGCTGGAGTATAATGGCGTGATCTTGGCTCATTACAACCTCTGTCTCCCAGGTCCAAGTAATTCGCTGGCCTCAGACTCCCAAGTAGCTGGGATTGCAGGTGTTGTGCCACCACGCCTAGCTAATTTTTGTATTTTTAAGAGAGACAGGGTTTTGCCATGCATGTTGGCCAGGCTGGTCTCAAACTCTTGACCTCAAGTGATCTGCTCACCTCAGACCCCCAAAGTGCTGGGATTACAAGTGTGAGCCACCATGCCCAGCTGGGATTCTTGACTTTTATAGATGAAAGCGTGAAATCCAGAGAGGTCAACATCACAGAGTAAGTCAGCCCCAAGTTCTGCTGAAACCTCTTCTTGTCATGACCAATATCCTCTTGTCTTCCAGAATGCAGCTCAGGTGCCATATATTTTAGGAAGCCTTCCTTTACCACCAGACCGCTCCCTTCCATGTTGACTTGGAGTTAATTACCAGATGCTCCCCAAACAGATTGTGCTTACCTCTATCGTTGATGAAAGCCATTTTTTTTCCTTTTTCTTTTTTTTGAGATAGGGTCTCTGTCACCTAGGCTGGATTGCAATGGTGCTATCTTGGCTCACTGCAACCTTTACTTCCTGGGTTCAAACCATCCTCCCACCTCAGCTTCCCAAGTAGCTGAAAGTACAGGCATGAACCACCACACCCAGCTAATTTTTGTATTTTTTGTATAAATGGGATTTTGCCATGTTGCCCAGGTTGGTCTCAAATTGACGAGCTCAAGGGATCTACCCCACTTGGCCTCCCAAAGTGGTGGGATTACAAGCATGAGCCACTGTACCTGGCCCATCTCTTTTCCTAAACAATGTGGAAAAAGTCTTATTCTTTGCCTCCCTTCAAATTTAACAGTCCTTCCACTAAAACATCCTTCTTCCAGACAGTTATATTACTCTATAATTGGCAAAGTTGCAGCTTTCTTCAGGTACATTCTAGTCCTGAGGATAAGGACCTGTCTCAAAAAAAAATTAGAATAAATAAATATTATCAATCCACATTGACTAATAGTATTTAGTACTTACGTTTAAGTAGGAAAAATAAAAATATGAGCTTTCTCACACTATTATTGTCCATGCTCTTTGCCTGTTTAAGTCTAATGTGCATTGTAATCACTTTGATTGATCTTGGGTAGTTTTCAGGTATCCATGGCAATATATTTACATTTTAGTTGGATTATTTCTGTAAATGTCTACTTTCAACTATTCTTTATTTTCAGAGGCCTTGTCCTCAAATTCTGTGAGTGGGAACCCCTAATCATAACTGCCCGGATCTTGATTATGTGTGTCATTTATCCACTTCCCAGAGCTGTCAGGAGGATCAGGTAAGAGGATGTACATGGCAACATTCTGTCAGCAGGAAGGCTGACACATTAAGGCATCTTTTTTCTAAAACATCCAATTCTGACCAGGCACAGTGGCTCATGCCTGTAATCCCAGCACTTTGGGAGGCCGAGGCGGGTGGATCACAAGGTCAAGAGATCAAGACCATCCTGGTCAACGTGGTGAAACCCCGTCTCTACTAAAAATACAAAAAATTAGCTGGGCACGGTGGAGCGTGCCTGTAATCCCAGCTACTCAGGAGGCTGAGGCAGGAGAATTGCCTGAACCCAGGAGGCGGAGGTTGCGGTGAGCCTAGATTGCGCCATTGCACTCCAGCCTGGGTAACAGGAGTGAAACTCCGTCTCAAAAACAAAAAAAGCCAAAAAACCAAAAACTATCCAATTCTTTGTTCATAGTCCAGCTTGAAAAAAAACATTTGATAAATTAGGAAATGACCATTAATCTGGAAAAAAATTTCACAATTTAATTGATCGTTAGTCAGGGGTGGTGGCATACAGGTTTGGTCACAGCTACTCAGGAGGCTGAGGTGGGAGGATTGCTTGACTCTGGAAAATTGGAGATGCAGTGAGCCGTGACTGTGCCACTGCATTCCAGCCTGGGCAAAGAGGAAGACCCTGTCTGAAAAAAAGAAAAAAGATGTTTCATTTGGAACTGCCTGTTTATCCCCTGCGAATATTACCAAATAATTCATTCATTTGTGCTCAGTCTTATATAGAAATTGTATTCATTTGCAACTATAGTTAATTTAAAATAGAACTGAAGTAGGCTGCAGATACTGTGTTAATTGTTATTTATTCCAAAAATTCTATATGGTTCTTTCTCGCTGAGTCTTTTAATCTTGGATTATAGGTCTCCAATTTTTTCTCTCTTTTTTTAGAATACATTAACTAAAACTTGTTTTTTCTCCCTGTGTTTTGGTATCACTACTGATTGTAAATATTATCAATCTTCTGGGTGCAATGGTTCATGCCTGTAATCCTAGCACTTTGGGAGGCTGAAGTGGGTAGATTGCTTGAGCTCAGGAATTTGAGACCAGCCTGGCCAAGATGGTGAAACCCTGCCTCTACAAAAAATACAAAAATTAGCTGGGTGTGGTGATGTGCACCTGTAGTTCCAGCTACTCAGGAGGCTGAAGTGGGAGGATCACTTGAGCCCCGGAGGTCAAGACTGCAGCGAGCCATGATTGTGCCACTGTGGTCTAGCATGGATGACACAGCAAGGTCCTGTCTCAAAAAAAAATTAGAATAAATAAATATTATCAATCCACATTGACTAATAGTATTTAGTACTTATGTTTAGGAAAAATAAAAATATGAGCTTTCTCACACTATTATTGTCCATGCTCTTTGCCTAATTTAAGTCTAATGTGCATTGATTTCACAGTTAAGTCTTTATTCTTTCAAGCACCAGAGGCAGAGTAGGTCATAATTTTAGAAAATTGATGTTAATATTAAAGTGTCAACCTTCAGAATACAGAAAAGGTATAATTAGAAAATCATCATTCATTCTTTGTAATATTCTGGGGTCAAGAAACCTCATTCTATTTCCTATCATCTATTGTCTACAGGTTTAAGGTTTTTCTGTCTTTTATTTATAAAAGCTGCACATATCCTGTTCCAACTCAGTGGAGCAGTCAGTCCCTTCCTCCCTGCCACCCTCTTCCCAGGCCCTGCCTTGCTGCCTCCAGAACTAAATTCTCCCTTCCCAGAACTAAATTCCAGCTTGAGAAGCTGATTCTTATTGGAGACTTAACACACATCTATTTTTATAGGGCCAGAGAAGCAATACCGAATTAACAAGTGGGCATTTCCCCTTCCAAGGCTCTAAGATCCAAGAGGGGCAGGTCTGTGGAGGATGTGGTCATCACTATAATTCTCATACTTAGCACATTCCCTGGTACAAAGTAGTTGCTCAGTAAAACTTTCTTGATTGAGTTTGTCTGCATAAATGGCCCACCACAGTTTGGATCATGGCATTGTATTACTGAAGACAATAACAACTCATTTGAAGTCCAGGTCTGTAGATTCACATGGAGCTCAAACAGAGAAGACAGCTCCTGGTTCCCATGCCGTTGGTCAGAACATGGATCTTACAGAAAATATGTAGGAATTAAGATCCCTGGATGAAGTTGCAAGTGACTGCCATTTTATTTCCTCTTCCAGATTTTGCTGCCTGTTTTGGCGTCGTCTCCATAGATTCACCACGGCTTCCTCCTTCCCTGAGCCTGCCTACTCTACCCAACATTCCACCTCTTCCTATGTCACATGTAAGAGCTCAGAGTTTTATGCAATAAATGTGTTAAACAAATCAAAAAGGCAAAACCTTTTACTAAGGCACAAAGAAAAGTACTCATATGACACGGACCTTTGAACTTTCACAGCTCAGTAGCACAATCTATATAAATAAATAGAATATTTGCCAGCAGGCCAGAGGTCCCCTCCAGCCACTGCCCTCTGTCAAAGGTTGCTTCTGTTCTGACTTCCATCAGATTATTTTTTCCTGTTCTTTTAAAAAATTGAGTTACTATATATGGAACATAAAAATTACCATCTTGACAATGTTATTTATTTATTTATGTATTTGTTTGTTTTTATTTTTAATTTTTGAGACAGGATGTCACACTGTCCCCCATGCTGGAGTGCAGTGGTGTGATCTCAGCTCACTGCGGGCTCAACCTCCCTAGCTCAAGCTATCCTTCCACCTCGGCCTCGCGAGTAGCTGAGACTACAGGTGCATGCCACCACACCTGACTAATTTTCATATTTTTTTGTAGAGATGGGGTTTTGCCATGTTGCCCAAGCTGGTCTTGAACAGCTGGGCTCAAATGATTCAGCAGCCTCGGCCTCCCAGAGTCCTTGAATTACAGGTGTGAGCCATTGCACCTGGCCTTAACTATTTTAAAGTGTACAATTTAGCAAAATGTAAGTACATTCACAATGTTATCAACCATTTTGCCAGAGCTTATCTTGAAAAACTCAACCCTAATATCCATCCAGCTACCCATTTCACCCAACTCCCAGGCCCTGACAAACACCACTCTAGTTTTGTCTATAAATCTGACTACTCTTAGGTACCATGTATAAGTGAAATCATATGGTATTTACCTCTTCGTGACTGTCTTATTTCATAATTTTGCCTATTCTTAACTTTGATTCACATACACAGAATCACATAATATGGGCTCTTGTATGTCTTTTGCTGCTCCGCATACTAGCATTAAGATTTGTCCATGTTGCTGCATGTTTCATTAATTTGATCTTTATTAGGTTGTAGTATTCTATTGTGTGATTAAGTATACACTATAATTTATCTTTCCATTCCCCTGTTCATGGGCATTTGGCTTGTTTTCTATTTTGGCCTATTTGTGAACGAAGCCACTGTGCATCTTCATGTATTTGTTTGTTTTTCTTGGTGGACATATTTAGTCATTTCTCTTGGGTGTCACACCTGGGAGTGGAATTTCTGGGTCATCAAGCAGGCAGATGTTTACCTGTAGTAAACACTGGGTTCTGCCTGTCCCACAACTTTGGGAGGAGGCGAGAGGATCACTTGATCACGTGTCAAACAGTTTTCCAGAGTGGAATGCATGAGAGTTCTAGGTGCTCTAGAATCTTACCAACATTTGGGATTGTCATTCTATTAATTTTTTAAAGATGTGTCTTTTAAAGATGTGTAAGATTATCTTAGGATGTTTTAATCTGCATTTTCCTCATAAGTAATGATGATGAGCACCATTTCACATACTGGTTGGCTTTCCGATATCTTCTTTTGTGGAGTGTATGTTTAAGTGTTTGTTTTACCTGTTAATTGAAGGGATTGCTTTTTTCTTACTGATTTGTAGGCATTCTTTACATATCCTGAATAGAAAGTGGTCTGTGGCTTGCATTTTCACTCTCTTGGTGATGTCTTTTGATGAAAAGATGTCCTTAACGGAAAAAAAGAAAGTCTAATTTACCTTTTTTTTTGTTAAGAACGTTCTTGTGTCTTAAGACCTCTGCCTGCCCCAAGACCACTTTCAGGAGTTTTGTTATTTTATCTTTCACGCTTACATCTAAGATCCATCTCAAATTAATTTTTTGGTATGGGGTCCCATGGCATTCAACTGTCACCTAAGAGTGATGAGCGCTCTCTCTCTCTCTCTCTCTCTCTCTCTCTCTCTCTCACCCTTGAAGATCTTGGTCCTTCCATCTCTGTATCAAAATGTGGCCATTTTAAGTCAAGCTGGGCTAGTGGAGGAACTGTGGAGATGTTTTAGGGGAATGAAAGCCTTCTTCTCAAGTCACATTTCTTAAGTGTCTGCTTTTGCAGCTTTGACTCTACCCCCAGTTCTTTTCTAGGGTAATTCTAATTTACAAGCATGTTGCTAATGTGCAAATAGTATCATTTATTTAAAAGTTGGGCAAAAGGCTGGGTGCAGTGGCTTCCACCTAGTCTGGGCGTGGTGGCTCACGCCTGTCATCCCAGCACTTTGGGAGGCTGATGTGGGTGGATCACCTGAGGTCAGGAGTTTGAGACCAGACTGGCCAAAATGGTGAAATCTCATCTCTACTAAAAATACAAAAATTAGCCAGGTGTGGTAGCACCTATAATCCCAGTTGCCTGTAATCCCAGCAACTTGGGAGGCTGAGGCAGGATAATTGCTTGGACCAGGGAGGCTGAGGTTGAAAAGAGCCAAGGTTGCACCATTGCCCTCCAGCCTGGGCAACACGGCAAGACTCCATCTCAAAAAAAAAGTTGGGCAAAAATCAGAAACTACATGTTTCCTAGCAAAGCAAAAATTGCACTAGACAAAGTTAAATGGGAAGGAAGGCTTTATTGAAGGCTATTGAAATAGAGGAGAGAGACCAGAGCTAAGTCTAAACTCAACTCCACCAAAGCAGGAGGCAGTAGGGTTTTTAAGAATTGGGGTGAGCAAGTGGAGGAGTACTGGGCTGACTGCAGTGGCTCACACCTGGAATCACAGAATTTTTGGAGGCTGAGGCAAGAGGATCACTTGAGCTCAGGAGGTTGAGACAATCCTGGGCAACATGGAGAGGTCCTATCTCTACATACACAAACAATTTTTTTAAAACATTAAAACTTGGCCGAGTGCAGTGACTTATGCCTGTAATCCCATAAGATTGAGAGGCTGAGGTGGGTGGGTCATCTGAGGTCGGGAGATCGAGACCAGGCTGACCAACATGGAGAAACCCAGTCTCTACTAAAAATACAAAATTAGCTGGACAAGGTGGTGCATACCTGTAATCCTAGCTACTCAGGAGGCTGAAGCAGGAGAATTGCTTGAACCTGGGAGGCGAAGGTTGCTGTGAGCCAAGACTGCACCATTGCATTCCAGCATGGGCAACAAGAGTAAGACTTTAGCTCAAACAACAACAACAATTAAAACTTTAGCCAGCCATGGTGGTGCACACCTGTAGTCCCAGTTACTCAGGAGGCTGAAGTGCGAGGATCGTTTGAGCCTGGGATATTGAGGCTGCAGTGAGCTATAATGGCACCACTGTTCTCCAGCTTGTCCACTGAGTGAGGCCTTTCTCAAAAAAAAAAAATATAAAGAAAAGAATTGGAATGTAAACTCCTCATAGCTTCGTGATAGGAGGTAGTTTTGCAAGTGGGAGCACAACACCCACTGACTTAGGCTCCCACCCTCCCTCACAAAGCTGTCTGCTTTGATGATTACTTTTCAAAGCAGTGGCTTCTGAGTCCTGAGGAAGACATTCCTGGGTGGTAAAGCTGGCAAGAGGCTTTAAAATATATATAAAGCCAGGTGTGGTGGCTCATGTCTATAATCATAGCACTTTGGGAGGCCAAGGTGGGTGGATCATGAGGTTAGGAGTTTGAGACCAGCCTGGCCAACATGGTGAAACCCCATCTTTACTGAAAAAATACAAAACTTAACTGGGCATGGTGGTGGGTGCCTATAATTCCAGCTACTCAGGAGGCAGAGGCAGGAGAATCATTTAAACCCGGAGGCAGAGGTTGCAATGAACCAAGGTCACGCTATTGCACTCCAGCCTGGACAACGGCAGGGCAAGACTCCATCTCAAAAATAAATATTTATATATATTTACATACATCTCGAAGAGGTAGAGAAAGACCAATGCAGCTGAGAAAGAAATGCCACCCCTCAAAGGAGATGATAACACACTCTGTATGAAAGAAGTAGACTAAGCTCTGGCTGAGGAATGACTTATATACATGTTCAATACTCTACAATTCCTCTGATATAGTATATTTTAAAGGATTTTGAAATTTTTGTTAACACTTAAAAAGGTCTGTATGGGGGCTGGCCATGGTGGCCCATACCTGTAATCCCATCACTTTGGGAGGCCGAGGCTGGTGGATCACCTGAGGTAAGGAGTTCAAGACCAGCCTGGCCAACATGGTGAAACCCCATCTCTACTAAAAATACAAAATTAGTCAGGTGTGGTAGTGCATACCTGTAATCCCACCCATTTGGGAGGCTGAGGCAGGAGAATTGCTTGAACCTGGGAGGCAGAGCCGAGATTGCACCATTGCACTCCAGCCTGGGCAACAAGAGCAAAACTCTGTCTCAAAAACAAAACAAAACATAAAGGCTGTATGGCATGACAATAACTACTTTAAGGGGAAGATAAGATTTCTTTCTACTTCTAAATGATACTGTGATACCTTAGGCTCTAAGGCAGGGCTAGTAACACTCTTTTAGTTGCACATTGGCTTATTTTAACAGAACAAGGTAATGTGTACTGTAAGATGTATGTAACCTGAGGTTAACTCTGTGGTCTAAAATGTTTAGCTATCAAGCCAGATTCATTATTAGACCAAATCTTATTATCGAAGTGTTCTGAGCTATACCTTGATGTTTAGGAGAAAAGTATTTGTTACATCCTCGAAGATCTACTTTTCATCCTCTGTAATTGCCAATTCTGTATGTACTAGTCCTCCAGAAATAGGCTAAACTAAAGCAACTTGATGGAAGGGACTCTCCACAGGGCTTGTTTTCCAAAGAAAAGTATTGTTTGGAGGAGCAAAATTATAAGCCTATCTAAGCATATCATAAAGCTGTTCAAAAACTTGGCCAGGTGCGGTAGCTCACAACTGTAATCCCATCACTCTGGGAGTCCAAAGCAGGTGGATCACCTGAGGTCAGGAGTTCGAGACTAGCCTGGCCAACACAGTGAAACCCTGTTTCCACTAAAAATATAAAAATTAGCTGGGCATGATGGTGCATATCTGTAGTCCTACCTACCCAGGAGGCTGAGGCAGGAGAATCACTTGAACTTGGGAGGCAGAGGTTGCATTGAGGCAAGATTGTGCCACTGTACACTCCAGCCTGGGAGACAGAGCAAGACTCTGTTTCAAAAAAATAAAACAAAATAAAAACAAAAACTCTAAGCCAGGCTTGTGGATTGAAATGCAGTGCCCAAGTCACCTGCTGCTTAAAGTTGAAATGAATATAGATGAATTAAAAGAAAAAAAAAGGTAGAGAAATAATTTAAAATGCCAAGTTTTCTAAAGTGAATGCTCTGTGGGCAGCCGTGGTGGCTGTGGTCTGTAACCTCAGTTCCTCAGGACGTTCAGGCAGAAGGACCCCTTGAGCCCAGAAGTTCAAGACTAGTTTGAGCAACATAGTAAGATCTCATCTCAATTTAAAATAAAATAAGTTTTTACAGTTAAGTAAATGCTCTGTGAAAAGGAAACCCAAAGGGCTAGAGGCAGTAGGAACCAGTTTTCAGTAGTAAAGCTGAGGTGCATGTGAGGTCCATCTTGGCTTCCCCTGAGACAGTGAAGATGGAACCCGTACATGCACACTGACGTTGCTCCCTGGGCTTGCTGCGTGACTGCCTGCAGGTTGGTTGAGCTTTAAGCCATGTTGGCAAATGTGCCAGGATCCTGAGCTGCTTTGGGGGCTGACAGGATGCAAGTCTGAGGCTCTAGAGACTTAGGGAGGGGAAGTGTAGCTGCTGTTTGCTGCCAGATGCTGGGGGTGAGTTCGACACTTGCTTCCTCTTGGTGCAGAGAGAGAGACTCAGGCCCTTTGGTTAAGAGCTAGTTGCCATTGAGCAGATATGTTTGCCTGGAGTGAGCCTGGGGGCCTTGGTGTGTGGCATCGTGGGGGTCTGTGTGCTTCTTCCAAGTCCTACCAAAGACTGTACCTATTATTACCACAAGAGCCACATCCAGGGGAATCTCAAGGGCCCAGCTGAGGCTGGGGACTCTGTCACTTTTCCTGATGCAGTTCCATTCTGTCTCTTGCACGCATGCCCCTCAGACACTAGCACTTCTGTCACCTCCTCTGTCTGGGACCTAGGGAAGATTCACCTCCTGACTAGGAGAGGTAGTACTCTGAGGGGTTTGCCAAATGGCTCATTTAGAATCTGCTTGTATGGGGAAGGAAAGCAGCAAGGTGCAAAGGAATGAATGAGAAGACATAAGAGAGGGGAGGGGAGCTTGGCCTGTGCCACGCCATGGGGCCGGGGTCCTGCCTGGACAGGATGGGATGAGGATAATGCACCAGCTTGGATCATGTTTCCTCCCATACACCAGTGGAACCACTACTGGAAGTTCCACTCTTTTTACTATTTATTTTAAACCTAAATAAGTAAATAAATGGTCTGGGTGCGATGGCTCACGCCTGTAATCCAGCACTTTGGAAGACCAAGGAGGGTGGATCACGAGGTCAGGAGATTGACACCATCCTGGCTAACACGGTGAAACCCCGTCTCTATTAAAAATACGAAAAATTAGTCAGGCGTGGGGGCAGGCGCCTGTAGTCCCAGATACTCAGGAGGCTGAAGCAGGAGAATCACCTGAACCCAGGAGGTAGAGGTTGTGGTGAGCCGAGATGGCACCATTGCACTCCAGCCTGGGCAAGAGGAGTGAAACTCTGTCTCAAAAATAAATAAATAAATAAAAATAAGTAAATAAGTAAATAAAGCCCCTGCCCCCCACCTCACGTAGTAACCCAAACCCTTTCTTGGGGTTTCCAGGAGCAAATGAAATTAAAATGTCTCATCTGATGGTCATCAGGAAGACTGCTGGTGGGTGAGTCTTTTGGCCTCCCAGAAGCGTGGGGCTGGGGGTGTGTTGGGGCTTGTCTTTGCTGCTCTGTGTTAGGTTAAAGGCCCATTTCCTGGACCTGGTTGTTTGAGCCAGTACAGTGGCTTAGCCCTGCTGCCTGCATCCAGAATTCTTCCTCTGCCCCATACTCATTTTCTAACTCGTTTATTATTTTTTTAGAAATAGAGTCTCGCTGTGTCACCCAGGCTGGAGTATAGTGGCACAACCATAGCTCACTGTAGCCTTGAAATCCTGGGCTCAAATGATCCTCCTTCCTTAGCTTCCCAAGTATCTGAGACCGCAGGCATGTATCACCATGCCTAACTAATTTCTGTTTATTTTATTAAAATGTTTTGTAGAGATAGGGTCTTGCTATTTTACCCAGCCTGGTCTTGAACTTCTGGCTCTGAGAGAGCCTCTGCCTCAGCCTCCTGAGTAGCTAGGACTACAGGCGTGCACCACTGTTCCAGGCTAATTTCTGAAAACTTTTTTGTAGAGAAGGGGTCACACTATGTTGTCCAGGCTGGTCATGAACTCCTGGCCTCCAGCCGTCCTTCCGCCTCTGCCTCCAAAGTGTTGGGACTACAGACATAAGCCATTGCACCCGGCCACTCATTTTTCACATAAAAGTACAAAAGGGTTGATGAACTGTTTTGTAGAAAGAAACAACAATAACAAATGAAAACCAAAAACACCCTGTGTCACTGAGGGAGAGTTGGGTCCATTTTGCCGAAGCACTAGGCGCCCCCAATTTGGAGCTGTATTCTTGGTGTCTGAAAGTTTAGGTTCTATCCTTGTTTTACTCCTTTCTAGTTGTGCGAGCTTAGAGAAGTTACTGGGCCTTACTGAGCTCTCTTCTTTTTTGTTTTTTGAAATGGGGTCTCACTTCGTCTCCCAGGCTGGAGTGCAATGGCGTGGTCTCAGCTCACTGCAACTTCTGCGTCCCACATTCAAGCAATTATCCCGCCTCAGCCTCCCAAGTAGCTGGGACTACAGGTGCATGCCACCACACCTGGCTAATTTTTTGTATTTTTAGTAGAGACCGGGTTTCACTATGATGGCCAGGCTGGTCTCGAACTTTTGACCTCGTGATCTGCCTACCTTGGCCTCCCAAAGTGCTGGGATTACAGGTGTGAGCCACTGTGCCTGGCCTAAGCTCTTCTTTCAAATGGGAATCGTATGTAATTCTCAAAGAGGTCAAAGAAATTAAATTAGAATATATACTCCTGACAGCCCTGGTAGTGCCCTGGCATTGGGTTGCCAGATGAAATACAGGAAACTTAAGTAAGTTCAGATTTCAAATAAATATCAAGCAAAAGATATTATCAAGCAATATCAAAAGATTGCTTGATAATATCTTTTGCTTGATATTTATTTGAAATAGTATCAAGAATTAATATTTTAAACATTATTTTATATATCCAATTACTGCAAAAACTACGTCCTATAGTTTTATTTGCTAAATCTGGCTACCCTACCCTGGCATATTACAGGACTTGGTAAATGTTTCCATGTTTTGACTTCCTCATAAGCCCATCTACAAAGGGCTTCTGACACTGCCTAATTTCAATGTGGCTACGTTGTGGTTTGAAGGATGGAGAGATATGGAAGGTGAAGGTATTAAACGTGGCTAAGCTATCATCCTTATTTCCACAGGTAGAAGAGCATAAAAACTACAAAAATACTGAAGGCCAATACAGTGTCCTGTGTGATCATGAATTCACCCTTTATGGTATGTAGACATAAATTATAGTTCTCCAAATAATTCACTGTTATCTAGAAATTTAAAATTATGTTTATGGTGATTTTTACATTATATGGAAAAGTGCTCATGGCATCATTTTAAGCAAGAAAAGCAGGGGGAAAATGTAGTTTTACATTATGATCTCTACCACATAAAAATGCATAGGAGGAAAAAATCTTGGAGGAAATATGCGAAAAAACTGTGTCATTGGGATTTTTGTTCATCCCTGCATCTTTACACCTGGCAATACTGTCCAGAGTTTCTATAATAAACTTCCTACTCTTACAATTAATCTGAAAGTTCTCTCTTATGTTAAATTATAATTTATCATTGTTTTAAATTATGAATACAATTCTAAATGAATTAGACAACTTTTGGAAAATATAACTTCAAACTCTTAAGAATGAATAGAACATTCACGGTATAACAAACTATATGATCTTTAAAAATACCTTTGTTATGAAATATAACACAAACAGGAAAGTGGATGAAACAAGAATGTACAGCTGAACACGTTTTCATCAAGCAGAGACCTAGGTAACCAGCAAGGTCAAGAACAAGAACACTGTCAGCCCCCCTGAAGCCCAGCATTCTCTTGCCCAGTCACAATCCTCTCCATCCCCCTAGTCAGTTTGTGTTATTTACTTCCTTCTCCTTTCATTCCAGTGTTACCACCTCAATTGCATTCCTGGAAAACATACATTAGTTTGGCTTGTTCTTGAACTCGATATAAATGGAATCATCTGGAAAGTATTCTGTTGT